AAATATATATATATAGATACAGGGCTCATTCATGTGCCCTGGATACCCGTGTACCTTAACGAGTACACGGCTGCTCATCTAGCAATGATTTCACAAGGCATGTAGTAGCAAAGGGGAGAAATGATTCCTTTTGCTATACGGAGGCATCTTTAAGACCCAGAAAAGGAGATCGAGATTATCGCTGAATTTTAAGCAAGCAAAGCTCGTATGGCAATCTTGCCTCTTCTTTCAGGTTCTCATCTGAATGTTAGCTAAAACGTACAAGCACAGCTGCTCCCCAAAGACTTCACCTTGTTTTCTACAGTCTGGGAGAAGGCCATCAGGTCACAGCAGTAAAACTGGACTTGTTTTTGTTTTTGTGTTATCTGAGTATGCTAGGCAATGCAGGGTGCTACTATTTCATTAGACTTAGCAGAAGCACCTGCTGATATCAGTTAGCTCAAACAGATACAACATCACATGATAACCAATGGCAGATAGATTAAAAAAGACCCAATGCTAAAACTGCAACCTATTTGGAAAAGAAATAGGGAAATACATGTGTACAATAGGCTGTCTATCTGCTGGTTCTGATAAGCATCCTCCTGTTGGCTGTGAGTGAAAGACAACTAGGATCGTTATTTGTACAGTATTTATCTTTGAAATCAAGGGCCCTGTGGTGTACCTCACCTTGGGAACAAACACTACAGAATGATCACAGAAGAGTGTCAAATCTCTGTTTTTGATTTACCAACAGTTATGATATTTCTTCCTCAGGAGAAAAAAAATGAACCATGTTTTTAGACCTGCGAGTCTTTTTTTATTTCCTCCCTCAACTGTGGCATCATTTTATGGACTTGCAGTGCTTTCATTCCCCATATAACTTCTCTTTGCTTTCTGTAACAGATCTTTTACTAGGGCCAGTGAAATTAAGCAACACTGGGTTGGATACATATCCTGCCCTTCACTTGATGAACAGAGTTTTGAGGTTCATGTCGCGGTTTGACTGTCAAGATCTCTGCACAAGTACAGTGGGTGTTACTTAAAAATGTCTACCTGTTATGAAAGAGTACCATTTTCTGCATTATTTTCAGAATTCTACCATTTTCTGTATGGTTTCCTATCTTTCCAGGAAGTAACACATTTTCAAAAACAAGAATAAAATGTAAGGGCAGCCACGCCACGATAGGGGTGAGAGACGTAGAGGCTGGAATATCATTTTATAAACAGCTGCCCACTCCCTTTGCAAAGTCAATTTGCTCCCTGGGGATATCCGTTGTGAGTCACTCAGAGCTGAAGAGATATTGTAAGGAGACGGTCCCCTGGACTAAAATTCGTGACCTGGGAAATTCAGCAAACTCAAAAGATAAAAGAACACCATGCATAACATTTTTTTTTTGTTCTTGAAGGACAGCTTAAGAGCAAAATGATGGCTCCAAAAAAAGCAGCAAGAAACCTCTCCACAAATGATAAGGGCTGAGAGCAGGGCAACTGGTTCAAATCTAGCCCAGGTTAGAAACGGCTACAATATCGTCTTGGTGAAACCGGTCTCAGCCTTGGGACAATATTTCCTTTTTAGGTCCACAACTCCTAACAAACTTTTCTTACGATGTCGGCAGAGAGGCTGAGAGAGATCGAAATACTCCTCTTTCTTAAAGGTGGTCACAGCAGTGGGGGTAGGACACAGCGACACAAAGCCCACCGGGTCCCTATTTGTAGCTTATTGCTTCGGGGCCAGATGCCACTCCACGGCACCACGCTGAGTAGGGCATTGCTCCATAAACAGTTTTACTAAAACCAGTGGTTCTAATCCAGAGTAAAGGACTAAAGTGAGTAAAGGTTGCGAGTAAAGACCTGGCCCCTACATTAATAAATAGATTATTCCAATCTCCAAGGCTGTCAGTCAATCTAGCACCTTTCCCTTGGACCAAATTTAATGAAATTAGAATTGTTTTAAAGGCCTAAATGTTATAGAATGGCATATGAATATGAATGAGCTGGCAAGTATGGAGAGATTAGCATTTATTTCACCTAAGTGAACAACAGGATGAATTGAAAGAAATGAAGCCACCCTTCATGGAAATTTATGACTAGTACCTTCTTATTTTGTAATCCTCTTGTAATGAGAACCTTTTCATTACTAGACCATCTCTTACTTGTATATATATATATATATATATATATATGTATGTTTATAATGGGCCGGATCCTGCTCCCACAGGGGGCAAAAGGATTCTGCCAGTGATTTCAGTAGGAGAAAGACTGGCCCGTTGCGTTTTGAAAGCAGAAATCGTATCTCAACATAACACATTTTAAAAAAATCCTTCAGAAACCTCTCCCTCCCAAATTTAAACATGTCGTATTTCTAGTCTGCTACCAGGGCAAATCATGAAATGTTGTAGGTCTCCATGGGCTTTTTTCATTTGGACACATCAGGCAGGAGAACAGAATTTGGCCCTGGGTGTGTTTGGTCCATATATGCTGTTGGAGCAATTGGTCTTTGTCAGATGTAACAACTGCACAGCGACAGCAAATATGGGAAATACCAGGGCTTGGAAAAATCAAGGAAGAACCCACATTAGCCAACAGTCTGAATGCACCTAGCAGTCTACACCGAGAAAAATGCTTCACAATAGTAATTTATTTAGGCTTCAGCTTGGAGAGAGAAAGTTGGGAATTTACTCATAGAGGAGCCATGTGTGAGCTATTACAGCCTTCCCTCGCCTTGCCTTTCCCCGGGTGGGAACCATGCATTGCCACACACAAGCCAATAATGCACTGTTTATGCAACGTGTAAAACTGTGTTCTTTGGCAGTAAGGAAAGGTCTGCAGCAAACTGCAGGGGCCCAATTAATGTAATTAGAGTTTATTTTTAGTAGCGTAGACTTTGTTCGTTAGTTACTTATTTGACAGAAATTAATTTCATGTGATGCTTTGCAATCCTCTGTACAATTAAGGAGTTAATTTAGGGCTGAATTTCTAAATCAAGTGAAATAAAGGTTAAATTAAGGTTACATTGTTTAAATTTCCAATCTCAGAACTTAAAAAAAACCAAAACAAACAAACAAAAAAAAAAAACAGCCAACCCAGACATTTATAATACTGTAGAAAACCAAACCCCGGATTTTCTAGGAGAGAACTGCACAGGACCCGACTTCCCCGACTGGAGCTATGGAATCCCCTTCTCCCAGGGGGATAATTTACTATCCCCTATTAAAACGCATTTTGGGCCTGAGTTCAATGGGCTTTGGATCAATGGGGAGTTTTCTGCTGACGTGCACCAGGTCCTCAATGAATGGAGGGGCAGCATCAAGAATTTCAGAGAATGTTTCTTATAATAGGCAAGTGCCAAAAAAACATTCTTACTTTAGAAATGACTGGAAGTCTTCACATACTGCTTCACAGCCCGGCCATTTGCATACACCGTGTCCATAGAGCGGGTGGCTATGTGAGTGCTCCTCGTGGGACAAACTGAAGGAAAGAAGCAAAAAGAAGAGGAGGAAAAGTAATGTAACAGAAGGCTTGGTATATAGGTATTTTAGCAAAGATGCTACTAGCAGCAAACAACAGACCCAGAAATATGCCATTCAGTTTTGCAGAACCCTACTCACTTGGCCCCTGATTTTTCAAGATTAAAATTAAATACCATTTGCAACATGAACATGCATCATCTGCCATCCCTACTCTAGGAACCACCTACCTTTCATTCGTTAATTAAAAGCTTTATAAGGAATTTAAATGAACAAGGATGGGGCAAAAAAAATCAAAATCAAAATCATGTGACAGACTTCCTTAATACCCTGCTTGATATTTTGCCAAGGTATTTATGAACATTATACATTTGTGGTTCATCTGCGTCAGGATGAGACGCTACCCCTGTATAGCAGCGCAGATTCTTAAATGCAACATACCTGAGAATTAAAATATTCCACATTGTTTCATGAAAAGGGAACAAAAAACTTGGAGTTTGCAGCTCTACCGTAATGCTGTACTGTCTGCCCAGTATTATTTTTTTCGTCTCATGTTCGGCTTCTTTGCACTAGTGCAGTCTTTTTATGCTCCAATAAAGTGAATCACCAATGTTTTCAAATGTAAAATTCATCATAAAAAAGGAACCACATAATCAAAGACTTCTACAGTACCAAGGGGTGAGTGGGGGCTATTAACCTTTCTAAGCTTTGGCAGGAATGTCACAGTGCCTTCCAACTACTGAAACTAGGGTTAAAGAAAAACTTCTTATGAACCCTAAGGGGTTAATCCTTCAGCAGGATTCCAATCAATACGTAATGATTTGGCTGCACTGATCCAAGTCATGAGACGCTTTGATCCAGGCCATGTGGTGCTCAGGGAAATGTATCTGTTGCACTAACTGATGAACCATATTCTAAAATATCTTCTTTATTCAACTTCTGCATGGAAACTTCTTAAGTAAAGGAATTATTTTTGCAACAATTTCCATAACCTTAGATGACTTTAAACATAAAATGTCAAAATAATATTGAGGGCTCTATTTTATGCTCACATGCACATCTATTTTTCAGAGCAAATCTTGTTGCTGCAGCGTGTCTGTGCCACATTATGAACTTCAAACACACACAAAGGATATGAGTGCATACCAGCATCTAGGTGTGGTTTTATGACTGACTTTATCATGGATTACAGGTAATGTTATGGATAAACACCTACTTTTTGCCATCTTGCATCTATACACAGATGGAAATGTCATTTGTTCTTGTTCTGTAAAATCATCTCGGTGCATTACAGAAAAGATTATATTCTTAAATTCTCTCTTATGCACCCAGGAGCAGAGCCACGCTGGAACATGCTCCCAAGATGCTGTATCGTGCAAGAAGAGCAACACCAACACATTCCTTCACACCTCCTGGTTTGTCATTTCTCTTCCCAGGCTCAATGGGAATGTCAGGACAGGTGAGGATTTTCAGAAACTCTCCTGAAGGGAAAAGGTGTGGCACCGGTTGGGAAATGCATCACAAGGGTATACATGGGCCCTGCTTTCCATGTTGGTTGAAAATTGGTTCTGTACTTTTTCTCAGCATTTCTAAAAATCAGCAATCTACTTTCCCTGCAAAACGGAGGGGCCGCAGAGGTTGTGAAGGCCTTGCCGACATGGGAATACCGCCTCTGTTTAACTGAATTGGTTCTTTAGAAATGGAGAAGCAGGGAGAAGCTATCGCTGATGAGCTGCTAAAGGAACGAAGAAACCAACTCGTGCTCTGTAGGGAAATTAGAAAAACGTTAGTCCCCGTATTTCTTGAAGGAACCAGACATGGCAGAGCAACTGCACTCTCCAGACACGAGGAGGAAAAGCATTTAAGAAGTAATAGTGAAATGGAGTTTACTGTCCCATTTTATTTTAGAGGGACGATTGCTATGCCTCCAAATAGGCATAGCAATAGGCACGTTCGAGCGTGGTCTTTTGCTACAGCAAAAGACGACAAAAATCTGCACAGACTTCAAATGTTATCTTGTACTTCTTTCCAGTGATTTATTGGATATGGGTAGGGTTAAGATATACTATCCAGATGAAGGATTAGCTTTGGTAGTTAAAAATTACCCAGACTAAAACAAACCACCCTGCATTATCTCAGGCCTGGTTTAGACTTAAATGCTCCAATCAGCAGAATCATGCTGTTAGGAGCAGGGAACAAACAAACAAACAAACAAACAAACAAACAACAGACCCGCACCCAGGACCAGCACAGCTCTGCCGGCAACAGCTCAAACGTGGAAGCAGAGGTGCCAGCAAAATGCGTCCTTTGGCCACTCGCGCTGTTTCATTCCCAGTGCTGGTAGAAATGATCCAGCCAAATAATTCTCCTGCTGATATCAGCTCTGCTTATCCTTGCAGGGCCTGTCGTACAGCTAGCCCGGTACGCCGCCACTTCCGAGTGTAGACAAGGCCTTGCTCTACTTACTCAGCTGCACAGCAAACCTGGGTACATTTAAGAAGTAAATTGTGCTAGGAGCATTTACAGTTGCCACTAAATTTAGACCCATCTGTTCTTAAAATTAAAGGACTTGAACTGTTGCTTATTTTTTTTTTGGGGGGGTGGGGATTTATCAATTGATTTTACAACACTTTTTTATAAAAGTGGAGGAAATGAGGATTCGATGTTAGCACCCCTTTAAAAATCAATGAAGACATTCACAGCTGGGTCAGTCCTATGATTTCGATTTATCTGGCAAACAGGGCAAAACTTCAGCACGTCAGCGCACGGAGCGAACGTTACCCACTCAGTCAAGAGGAACAGTAAAGCGCCGTCCGACAAACAAGAAGGGGTACGTTCTCAAAGTGGTCTCTGGGGCTTCAGCACTGCAAATCCCATTACAATACCAATGGGAGTCACACAGCTTAAACCCCTAATCAAGGTTTTAAAATTTTAGTCTGAGATTTGGAAGGCAAGCTAGGGGAAGGTCCCAAGAGCCCTATATAGCAATTGTTTTCATTCGAGGTTGCAACTCTTTTCTTCCCAGGGATTTCCTGTCTGACAGGAGGGGTCCCTGGGTGCTCAGTACAAAAATGTCCCATGTATACGACTAAAGGCATCTAAACTAGGTCCACGGGAATTTCTGGTATTGCCCATACACGGGAATATGAAGTCAAGACATTCATACTGCAGTTAACGAGACATCATGCCTAAAGTGGAAATACATGGAAGTTTCCACAGCCATTTGACCAAAACACACAAACTGCAAAATTACTGGAAGTAGCTACTTATTTATTTATAAATGAAACATTTTCAGGCGTTTTTCTTTCACGAGTACTTATCCCTGCACCATGCTTATGTCTTGGATGGTACATTTTTGGGACTTAACATGCCCAGATTGGGCTTTTGCTAACGGACTGTTGTCAATAGTCTGCTTCTGATGGTATCAAATATTGCGTTTTGCTGGCTTAAACTGAGTCTCAAAGAATTCCTCCAGAAAGAGACGGAGCAGAGTGAGATCACATCCTGCACTTCAAATAATGAAGAAAGACGACAGCAAATAGAAAGCTAATGGAGAGTTGCCTTTTCCAAGTACCAGATTTGTTGAGGGAAAGGCCATTGGAAAGCAAAGATCTGAGTGCTTTTGGCTGAAACAACATTTTGTGTGTGTGCATATAAGATGCCTAGAATCTGGATGCTTCCTCCATCTCGCTGCCTGTGACTTTATTTTACAAAGACAAGACTGCTGGCAGGAAGAGCAAGTAAAGAGTTTGGCTCAGACCTTTTCCACTGATTTCTAATGACACACAAGAGAGCGTGTGCATTTGTTTCTGTCTGCCTCTCTTTCAAAAGCGCACACATCTTCATGACAGGTCATCTGTGATGTTCAACAAGTTAATGGAGGTAACTAACTTCTGCAGCAACACATGTATGTGTGGCATGGGACCTGAAGAGAGCTCTGCACAAGCTCATTTTCCTATGCCAGTGGATTTGCATTCACTACGCCTTACACAAGTTATTCGTCTGCGAAACAGAACAAATCCCAAACAATGCAGTGGCGCGATGTGATTAGTTGCAGGTGCAAGAAGTAGCTCCTCTGCCAAGTAAACTTTGTTATGCAATTCGGTTTATTAATGACACATAGCACAGAGTTACAGAATGCAAGTGGTAAGCGGGAGGATCCTTAGGTGTGCATTTAATAGTCCCTAATTGTTGCCACAGGAGGTCGTAGAGGCAGATAGTACAGCCACGTTCAAAAAGGGGCTGCACAAATTCATGGGCGATAGCTATTAAACCGAACAGTTGGGGATGTTTTCTGTGGCATCTCTATACCACTGACGGTGGATATCAGGGAGGGTAATGAGCAGGGGACAGATCACTCTCGTTGTATCCAGTTCAGATGCCCTCCCTGAATAACATCTAAGTCTGCCCAGCACAGACAGGATACTGGACTAGATGGACCACTGGCCTGACCCAGTATGGCACTTTTTAGACTCATAGACAATGAGGGTGTGACGGGACCTCAGGAGGTCACATCTAGTCCAACCCCCTGCCCAAAACAGGACCAGCCCCAACTACACCATCTCAGCCAGGACTTTGTCAAGCCAGGCCTTAAAAACCTTCAAGGATGGAGCTTCCGTCACCTCCCTGGGTAATCTGCTCCAATGCTTCACCACCCTCCTAGTTTTCTTATGTCCTTATGTTTTTGCTGCTTTCATAGCCCACCCTCACATGGAGAATGCTCTGCCAGCTGGGGCAAGGCAGACAAGTGACACACGAGCACCTTTACTAGTCAATTCATTTTGCCTTTCCTATTTCTAGTAATTAGTGCTGCCAAATCAATAGTCCATGCAACTGTGGGGATAGTCTAATGATGCAAAACGCCACGCGCGAATGTGGAGGAAGCTTTCAGACTGCAGAACACCTACTCAAGTCAAAATGATGGCCACAGCGACCTCTCAGCTGCTTTTGGTTAAGCACCTGAATGCCTATGGTCTTCCAGGGTGTTGCACAGGTGCAACT